TGCAACGACGTTACAGTAAGAGACGCGTGTAACGGCGGGTTAAAGCATTTTTTTATTTGCATATTAGGTATATTATAAAAATAATTAATCAATTCTCGATAAATCGATTTGTTCAAGTAAAAAAACAACGGCCAACGAAGTTTTAAAGCATAAAGTTGCTAAATATATTGACTGTTAGTTTTTGTTGTTGTTAGTTTTATTCTTCTGTTTCTATTTTTAAAGCATACAATTAAATTTTACAATTTTAATTTCTTGCAGTTTTATATAAAATATAACTCTCAAATATTCTCTTTCGAAACTATATAATTTTATTAAATATAGATGTTAGCGCCAAACAGTGAAATTATTTATTCTCTATATGCACAGTCAATACACAGTGCTGACAAACGACAAAAAACAAAATAACTCTTCAATTGGTACATTTTTTACTTATAAATCTCATTCGTTCATTCAGAATATTTCAGTGAATCATTTTAACGAATTTATACTGTTTAGCAGTTTTAGGCGATCATTGAATTTACGACACTGTTGATGATGCGCATTTATGTATTATGCGTCATGATTCGTATTTGGCTAACCATGTTAGCATCATTAGCACATGGTTTAAACTAAACTAATATCTACAAATTGATCGTTTATGTGGGCGTTCAGAATTGTGGCGAAATTAGCCAAGCGAGTCAAAACCAACAGAATGGTTAGCGAAACGCGCGTCCAGTGAAAAAGTATAATATTTTGGTGTATTGTGTGAATTAGTGATTTATTTTGTTATACTTAGTTTTAATAATTTTGAAATGATATGATATAAATGATATAATTTTTTTTTTCTTTCAAATGATATAAATATGTCGTACCGCAATATGAATTTAGAATGATCTCTATTTGCGTTTAAATCTAGTAAATTGTTAACAACCAACCCAAACTTTAAATTTGTTAATAAAAAAATGTAAAGTAACAAGAGAAATTGATGGAATAATTGAACGTTGAGCCACTTGAAATAAATAAATTTTAAAGTCTTTTTTCTTTTATTTTGTTAAGCTGAATACTTCTTATTATAAATAATCTAATTTCTAGTGTTGTCGATCCAAAATAATGTATACTGTCGCGACCTAGCTTGGTGATTGTTTGGCAGGATCGCTTATACCAGGTTCTCTCTTTTAATCAAAACAACCATTAGAAAAATATACATTTATTAAATATAAGTGTGCAGTGTGAATAAAAATATCAGGAGAACAATTTCAGGAAATGCCAAGACTTACTAAGGGTATGCTGAAAGGAGTACTTTCAGGAATATCTTCAACGTCTTTACTGACATCTGACTAACCATTTGACTAACTACCAATTGACTGGTTACTAATTATCTGACTGTCAACTGCAATGCAACTAACTGACTATTGGACTGACTAACCCCTGCTCTCTTCAGCATACTCGTTTTATATTTTCTATCCCTCGTGGTCATCGCTGGTTACGTCATTCGATAGTTTTCCATCTAATTACATTCACCCGGCTATGATCATGAGGAAATCGAACTTCGGTAAACTGCGTTTGATTATCGACCCAAGATTATTGTATTTTAATTGTTTAATTTTTAATGATAATTAAAATCTATCTGGGTCGATGTCATGCAGGTAATCGATCTCTTTTGCCTACATAAAATTGGTTTACTAGAATTATATTTTACATTATTTTTCCCAATTTGATGTAACCAAGTTGACATTTATTTAAGTCTTGACAATACTGTGTTTTTTAATTAGTTAGGACCGAAAAAAAACCAACCGAAGTCGTTCGTTTTAAATTAGTCGACGTTACGCAAAATTTATTTGCATCTCCAGGATTCGATTATAAATAACGACAGAGATTCACATCCATTATTTCAGAGCATTGCAGGCTGCGGTTGTGCCATTGGCCCCTTAAATCTTATTATCATGTAGTCCCTTGCGGGAGTTGGCCTTTATCTGCAGGATAAGAGCTTGTGTGTATAGGCCTACTTGTAAATAGTAAATACGAAAACTGCAATGTTAGTATGTGAACCAATTATTTCTACAACTCCCTATAGTACGAGAAAGTTAAAATTACACAAATGATTTTCTGTACGTTCGTGGTATTATATATTTAGTAAAATCTCATTTGAATATTGATATTTATTGATATTTAATTTCCAACTCTGAATAAACTTGTTAATTCGCTAGTTAACAGCTGGTAAAAATGTAATAATATGATTACACTGTAGTATAAGCCTAATATCATTTGTACATATTTTATAAAGTTCAACATGTAATTAATAATAGATAAAGTTTTATTGTACAAAAAGCCAAAATAGTTTCATCGATAAAGCATTTAAAAAACAAACAAAAGCACAAAAAATATACAAATAATAAAAGATATCATTCAATACAAATCATACAATTCAAAAAAAATACGTCATTACAAAAATAAAAATAATAAAATTTTACAATTTTAAAATTGTAAATGGTTATAATCACTTAATAGTTATAGCTAAATATTATATATAATATTATAAATATTTAGACTTTTAACCAGTCAAGTGTGTGAGATGATCAAAATTTTAAAATTCCCAATTGTTTAAGATTAAACATCAACAAAAAAGTCGTTTACCGCATATAGGTCTCTCTCCAGTAATAAAGAATGAAAGCGACTTGATATCCAAAGGCAGACGATTGTACATTTTTTGGCATTGTACAGTATTGAGCCTTTAACTAGTTCTGAGCTCGGGGTTGGCAGATAAAGATCGTGCTCCTCAATCCTAAGTGGATAGTTGTGATGTGGCCTTTCGGGAATAGCAGATATGTGCTTGCTGATTAAGCAAACAGATTCAAAAATGAATAATTGTTTTTGAAGTATCCAAGCGAGCAAATAAATACAGATATCTCGGATAATTTAAGTAAATAGGTTATGGCCTAATACAGATGAAGTTTTACATGACAAACTTAGCCTTTACAATTTATTAAAGAGCAATACTCAGCTCCATACTATAAATAAAGAACATGTCCCTTCAGAGATTTTAATAAAGAATAGAATATAGATTTTAATAATAGTTTATCAATCTATACACTTTTAGTGACAACACAGTAACACAGAGTAATACAATAATTATTATTTTTTTGCCAAAGGATGTTCTTAATAAACTCTCAGATATTGTCTAAGAAGGTAATTTACTTGAAAGTCGGTGAATTTTAAGTTAATATGAATTGAGACCATGTCTCGATGTGACAACTTTGTGTTTTCCTGCCGGCTGATAATAAAGATTAAATTGTTGATATTGTGTCTGCGTTATTAACTTTGTTGTTCTAGTATAGTTTTCCCTAGTCCATTTCCCAAATGCAGGCCGCGACCCCTTCGGGGGTCGCATTGAGGTACTAGAGGGATCGCCGAAAATTTCCAAAATAAGGCAAAAATGCCATGTTATAAATCATGTACTTGTATTTTAATAACGCCGTTAATAAAAATTAGCAAATTAATTATCAAACGAAACATAAAACAAAATATTAAAAAATAAAAGAGATAAATAAAGGCAAATATTATAATGATATAACACTCTATATGATAATAACACTCATGCGCATGCTTTTTTTAAACTAGTCTTTCTACTACTTTCTAACTAAACAGTATACTTGAGATATTCATAATTTATCGTTTTCAGGTAGGTAAAATTTAATAGTAGGTAGTTTAATAGTAGGTATAATTTTTCACTTTTTTTGTAAACTTCTCGATGTAGCAGCAGACGCAATAACAAACGTCTGCTGCTTCCTCTAGTCCCTTCAAAAAACCGTTTCCTAGAGTTCTAGAGAGTTGGTTTTCCATTGCCGGACTTGTGCTCTATGGTTTCTTCTTCCTCTCCGCATTCTGTGCAGTAGTCGTCGTTGGAAATCTTCCGTCTCACGAGGTTTACCCCCGTGGGGCAGTTTCCATCAACAATTATGCGTATTCGTACTAGGTTCTTTTTGTGCTCTAGTTGTTGTTTTGTCTTTTTGCTATCTACCACTGGCCACAGTCTTCGATCTGTAGTGCAGTCCTAACGGTGTTGCCACGTCTCTTGTTGCTTAGCCTTGAGGTAGTTCCTATGGTTGTCTTCATTGTTGATCTTCACAAATGGTGGGTTATCTGCAAATACGTTTAAAATAAAATATACGGAGGGTACCGCTTAAATTCCTGTCCCGATATTGAAGTGTGGCTATAGAATTTCAATGCATTTCCTACATAAGTCTATCCTTGTGTTGTAGGAGATTTGACTAAACAGGGATGAACTTATATCTTGAAACGATTCGACTCGACTTTCTGTCCTTCAATAGTGGGACGTAAATCCTCTCATTGCTCTTATGGGAAGGCCGTCGTATATTTTATTTAAACGTTATTTGGTTATCTGCCACGGCCTCTTCCCTAACCACCTCTTTGGCGAGTTTCTCCGCTTCTTCGATGCCCACCATATTGCTCCGGTCTGGCACCCAACACAGAGTAGCCTCGTCTTGACGCAGCCAGAACAGTGCTTCTCGGCAGTCCATAGTTTTTGATCTCACTGATTGCATGGAGAATGAATCTCCAAGCTGTCAGGGTGTATCACGATATCTCCTTTTGACGCTTACAGGGTATTTCTGCATCCTTTTACAAATAATAATATATTTACTAAATATTTATAATAAAATAAATAACTAATTATATTTGTTAATGTGCTACTAAAACTTGTTTATAACTCTTAAAAAATGGATGAAAAAATTACAAATTAATATAAATATATCGTTATTTAAAGAAACCGAACACGCATTACAAGTACTACTGGCGTAATGTGAAATAATACAATATGATAAAAAAAGACGGCGTCAGTGATGACTATGAAATGAAGATCGCTGTCAATTTATATGTAAAATTATATGTCATCGATGTTAATTTCAAAGCCAACTGGACGCCGTTCTATTTGTACATACGTTATAATTTTTTAATACTAGATTTATGCTACTAAATTTAACAAATCTTTTTTTTTATTTCAGTTACAACAGCCTGAAGTCGACGGCCAGGAACATTGTAGAAGGTTTCGAATTGAAAATGGAGACTCTCCCGGAGAAAAAGACGAGGTGAGTTAGCTCTAAACTTGGAATATTCTATGTAGATAGTATATTTTTATTTTTTGAAGCAAAACATCTTTACGCGGGCTGGGTGTAAATATTCAAGGTCGCGACACGACACACACAGCTAGCGACACTACTCAATTCGCTGGTTCTTTATTATAGCCTTAAGGATTTTACTCTTACCAAAAAGTCCTATGGGTATTTCGCCACTGTAAGAAAATCAATTTGTCAGCCGTGATTTACTCATATACAAATTTGCGGACAAATAAATGCTTAACGTTATCTTTTCAAGCAAAAAAACACAAAGAACAAAGAAAAAATTGGCGCCGGGAGGCACGTACAGCCGCCCATACTAAAATATGTTAATATCTCGAAAACTGCGACTTTGACTGATTTTGATGTTATTATAAACTAGGTTTTTCCCGCGACTACGTTCGCGTTACACCTCGAATAGTTCATGCATTGATTTAAATGATTTACTTTGTATATAGAGCTAGTGAGCCTTACAAATGCCCTATTTAAACTATGTTTTTAAGAGTTTTAGAGCTACTCGTATTTCATATGAAAGTTATCAATTGTCGATTTTCTGGGTATTATACAGGGCAAGTGCAAATAAATTTTTACTAACTTTACCCATTTGGTTGATGAATTTCAAAAATCTCTTCGGGTCTTGTGCAGAACAGGTCCCCACGAAATCGTGGTTTTTTTAATTTTTAATGTGGATCCCATAGTTAATGGAATGGTTTAAAAGAAAAAAATTGTTGGATGAACCACTTTTTCTACGAAAAAAAATAATTGAAAACTCCAAATTTTCACTACATTTCAATGCGAAAACTCCCTATTATAACCTTCATAAAGACAGTAAAATACAAGGTTATGCACAGTGTTGCCATACTCACCCTGTGTAAAATCGACGAAAACGTTCTACTTTATATTCGTTTTTTTTACATTTAGTACGCACTTTAAGAACACGAAAAATTAAAAATATAATAAACGAGGCAAAACAAAAACACTATAAAAATAAATTGACAATAAAATCATTACACAGTATTTAGCACAATTGTTTAAAAATATATTTTTCCCGGATTTGTTCAGTAAGATTCCGAAATGGATGTGATCTGCGTACTTCCAAACACTCCCCACCAACCTAACCTAACCAATGCATTAACACCCCCAAATAACCAGGCTAACCAATGCATTAACACCCTCCAAATAACCAGACTAACCAATGCATTACCACCCTCCAAATAACCAGAATATCTAACCTAACCTAACCTAACCAATGCATTAACACCCCCAAATAACCAGGCTAACCAATGCATTAACACCCTCCAAATCACCAGGCTAACCAATGCATTAACACCCTCCAAATAATCAGGCTAACCAATGCATTACCACCCTCCAAATAACCAGCCTATCAACCTAACCTAACCAATGCATTAACACCCCCAAATAACCAGGCTAACCAATGCATTAACACCCTCCAAATAACCATGCTAACCAATGCATTACCACCCTCCAAATAACCAGGCTAACCAATGCATTAACACCCCCAAATAACCAGGCTAACCAATGCATTAACACCCTCCAAATAACCAGGCTAACCAATGCATTACCACCCTCCAAATAACCAGGCTAACCATTGCATTAACACCCTCCAAATAACCAGGCTAACCAATGCATTACCACCTTCCAAATAACCAGGCTAACCTAATTGAGCCTAATGACAAAACTTCATTGATTACGCGTCGAAAAACAGTATATATTAAAAAAACTTATATTTTCGTAGAACCTGAAAAATCCGCAAATTTTATTTCAGAAATTGCTTTAAAATAATCCACACTAACGAATAAGCTACTAGACAGTTCAATTTTTGTTGCACTAAAGTGATAACTTACCGTTTTAAGTCCCTCCACAACAACTTTATTTCAGAAGAAAATCATATAAAGTAATTTTATTGACAACGTCGCAAATTCTATGCGAAGGCCATAGATGACATACCGATGATCGATTAACTGTCAATCGAAAAAGTCATAAAATTGCTAGCTTGAGCTGATGTAAATAAATATATTTTCTTAATTTTTATGCTTACAAAGAAGATTCGTTACATTTTTGTGCTTAAATTAGATCATTCCACGTCTATATAAGGTAATAAAGTACTAATATGTGATGTTTTTACTGAATCCGTGTAGAAAATTTAACATATTTACTGTCCGTCGCCTGTACCTAAAATACGTTTTTTTGCCGCTTTTTAAAGATAAAACACATTCATCCAACAATTTTTATGCTTAAAAATATTCAGTTTAAGATAATCTTGCAAGAAAATCCCAAAAAAGTGTTAAATGCGTGGGGACCTATTGTGCACCAGAGCCATCTCTTCTAATTCTTTTTGTAGGATTTCATTCTTCTAGATCACATAGTGAGGAATTTTCATACAACAAATTGTTCCGACATAATTTTACTCTCTAAGAGGATGAATTTCCTAAAATCGCTTTGTGTAGCTAATTCACTAATGTCGTTTAAACGAACCTTTGTTCTAATATTTATGTATCTAAAGCTGGCTGTATGAACTGATCCCTAAATTATCTAAAAACTTGATATATAATCTAACTGACAAACCACTGACAATGACAAATAATTTATTTCTGGAGGTATTGTGTCTAGGTGTTTTTCAGGTATGTTTTAATATTTAGTCGATTTACACACAGAAATAGCCATTCAGCAATTTAAAAATACTTCATAACAAATCTAGACATATATACCTTTCATTTAAAAAACCGCGTTTCGCTAGCTACTGTAATTTTGGAGTTACAATTTTTTAAAATTTTTAACCCCCTCCCATACCCCTTTACCAACCCCCCACCCCCACCAAAAACTAATGGCCAGATTCTCGGGTGCCACAGTATTTTTGTGCCAAATTTGGTTAAAATCGGTTCAGCGGTTTTTGAGTTATCGTGTTACAGACGGCAGACAGACAGACAGACAGACAGACAGACACCACAAAAATATTTTGTATTTAGGTTATTTATGACCCAAGTAACTCATTTTGAGTGAAATTAAAAAAACTTTTTTTTTTGTCGATCCTAATAGCCTACCATACCTATTGGTATGGTCGGCTAAAAATTATTTTAAATATCTAAATAAAACTGTTCAACAATATTTTAGTTTTTTTCAACAAATACGTCTATAAAAATCGTTGACGTCCTGTTAAAATGACATTATATCATCACTTGATATAAATCTGGCGTAACTCAAGCGACATATCGCTCCGATATACTTACCTTTAGTTGATTAATAAGTGTATTTTTTAACGAGATACCATAACTCTGGGGTTGCAAACTACACTTTTTTTTTCTCAAATTTTTTAAATGTTACATATTTTTTATTTTTAGCCCTATTGTCATGATTTTTTTTTCAAACTGCATATCAACGTTAATTCGTAAACTCTGTTTTTTATAAACTTTAGTATTTGGTTTATTATAAGGGCTAATCAACGGGTTTATTTTACTCTAACATTAAAACACCCTGTGCAATAATTTCGGGATTAAATTTTTCTAAAACATTATTTTACGGTCAGAGCCATGACTCTTGAGCAATTTTTTAATTTTTGTCAACACATGCCTTGATTCATTTTTAGGAGCGAAATGAACTTGCCGCCACAAATTTGCAATATTTTCAATATACATTTCAAAATATATATTTACGCTATTAATTATCACAGACATAATAGATATTTACGATACAAGTGAGTTAACGCGTGTGCAAATTGTACAACGAGTGCTTAGCACGAGTTGTGTAACCACACAAATATTTTATCTACGTCTAACTATAAAAACACACAATGAATTTTAAAAATTACTGTACTTAACTATATACCTATCCTAAAAATCAATTACCTTAATACCTTTGTTCAAATAACACCATGCATGGCAATGTCAATATGACAGTAAATAATATTGATGTCACTAGTTTAAAAAATGAGCGATTCGGAAAGTATACCCTCTGATATTGAAGAAGAGGCATTCAGAGCCATTTCCGGATTCCATTCCAAGATCGAAACAGAAGTATGAATATACAATATACATACTCTAAGTATGAAAAATGGCACACCGAAAAAAAAGTACAAAACTATGGAAATGAAAAGGTACTCATAACATATTTTTCCAATTTATCTGCTACTTATAAGCCTTCGTCTCTTTGGGCTTTCTATTCAATGATACGTATTATGATATATATTAAAATGAATGCTTCATCAGCCATTTACTTGAAAAATTGTTCAAACTGTATTATTAACATTTATAATAAATAAGTTTCATGTTTTTATAATTATTATCAATAGAACAGTTTATTTGTATTTAGTAGGTATTTAGTGCAAAATAAATGTTTTACAAATTTTTTTTTCTCTTTGGTAGTCCCCCGTAGTATCCCGTGGTCTAAAAGGAATTTTTAAGAATGTCAATTATAAACTTGTGTATAGTGCTAATAATAAATTACAACAATTATTAGGTAATCCAAAGGATAAAACACCTCCACTGCAAAGGTCAGGTATTTATGAAATTTCTTGTAAAGATTGTAATCAGAAATATGTTGGGCAAACTAGAAGATCAATATTAACTAGATTTAAAGAACATTTAGTTAATAAATCTTGCGTTGCCGAACATATTGTTGATAAAGAACATTGTATAGATCTTAATAATTTAAAATTAATTAAACAAGTCTCAAATTACAGGCAATTAGATGCATATGAAAGCATCATAATTAATAAATGTAAAGATAGTATGAACAGAGTCAACGGTCCAATTCCTTCAAGTTCTTTGTTCCTACTACTCTAGTGGCGGAAATTAACTGTTACGCTCAGTGGGCTCTGACTCGGTTGGCTAGATTTTGCCACGCCCACTCGGTACCTACTGGGCGAGTATATAAACGCTCAACTTGTAGATTGTACTTTAGTTTATAATCATCTGCTGATGATGCTAACATGGTTAGCGAAACGCGCGTCCAGTGTA